AGCATACGTTCCAAACTTGTTTGTTGGTTTAGATTGATCGGTGCATTCACGGATGGTAAACGGGACAATGTGTAATGTACACCGGTCGTTTTGATAATGTCAAATCCTGTTGTTATTTCAGAGGTTTATCACCTAGTGACGGGGAAATGGGGTGACTTGGTTGATATGGATGGAAACTTGTATGCTTGAGATTACAGCCAGCTGATGCCAAGCACGTAAGGCTGACTGGCATCTCTGGTTTAGGAGGCTTGGTTTGGGTCTAATGCGCGTGCAGACACAAGACGAACTCACAGAGTATCTTTCCCGCGCGCAATAGCAGTGATAAAAGCTGACGTTGACAAAACTTAAGCAGGCTTGACGGCAATATGGGCGAAAAAGGGGTATATGTGCGAGAGGACTTACTGTTGTGGCCAAACTTTTTCTTTTCTTTTTTTTTGGCCTGTGGTTAAGACTTGAACCTGGGAGCAGCTATCAAGTTCCTTTCCTGCCACTCTGGTTACGCCGGCTATGGCCAACGTCGCCAATTGTGCCTGCCAATGGTAACAGACTGCCGAGACATGTATGCAAGATGCCCTTGATATTGTTACCAGAACATTCTTTCGTTAGTTCGAGGAGCTTGCATCTAGCTCCAGCTGGGTTAGAGGAATATAGCCAACACTTTGTTGGTGTTTGCATTTCTCGGCGCAGCCTGCATGAGCATTGCATCAGGGCGCAGGGCATGAGTTGGAAGGATGGGAATTTGGTCTGAGGACAGTAGCCCATTTCCCAGAGTGTTTGGAATTTTATGAGGAGGTAAAACGCCCATGATGTCAGGTTCGTCAGCAGATACCTACCTACTTGACCTATTAGGTGGACGTAGCCTGATGGTGAAGTGGAAGAAGTGTGTGGCCGGGGTTGGGAGGATGACGGAACTGACGGGGGCAAGACCAATCACCGTTATGCACGATGCAGAGCATGCCCGAAGAAAGGAAAAGGGAAAGAAGGAGCCGCAGCGAATTACGGGAGCACAATTGTGCTCTTTCTCTCTGTTCGAGCTGTTGGGTTTCGCATGGGCCTGCCTCTTTGGGGTTGATATTTAAACACGAGGAAGTTGTGATTCATGATGTTTGCTTCTTCACTTCTTATCATTCTTCATTTTGTACTGATTTGTTTCGATAGATCAACGCCCTTGTCGGTAACGACGACGACGACAATAATAACAACGACAACGCCGACCATTAACTACACGCCTGACCGTATACGTGGACCCTGTGCCCTAGGACAGGGAATCGTGGATGACCGCTGGATGCCCAAACTTGGATGCCATCAGGACAAAACCAAACGTGGAGAATCCTTATTGCGGACTCCTTCTATTGTGGAATTCCTTTATCGTGGACTTATTCTATCGTAGACCCTCTTCTCTTGGGCTCATCAATTGTTTCGACTTAACGACACGCTCATTTGTCCCTTGACCGGGCAAGTTGCCGTGGAATTTGCCGTGGCCCTCAGACCTTCCCAGGTTCTGGTCGGCGTGTGCTGCCGATGTGGACAAATTATCAGCCGAGGATACAATATCTCCCGCTGTACTGTGGATGTTAGCAGTCCATGAGAAGACGTTTACAAACGTCTCGGACTCTTACCTCAGCGTGGATTGCTTTTGCCATAACTTCTGGATCTTACGTCCTCAACCAAAGGCTATTCATTCACCTAAGCCAATTCAATGGCGACCCTGGTTCTTACCAACTCTTCTACATCTAACAAAAATCAGGACGCAGTGCTCCCAGGTTACTCTTCGACGAAACTGGCAGCAACTAGTCGACAACTTGGCAAGCTTCGGCCTGTGGCCCTTGGTCAGAACTACACGAGCATGATCGAAAACTCGATAAGTCCAACAGCAGGACTTCCACGCCTTTCGCGAAACACGTTACACGCCAACGAAATCCCGGAGTCCCATGCTCTCAACTACCGTGCAGGTCGTCTCCTGACCAACGCACCTCATCTGGCCTCCGAGGACTTCGGTACCTGGCTACTATTACAACAGAAGTTTCAGTCAACAAAACGTTCTCATAAACCGGGATTGCGAACAGAACGCTTGGTCGACTCTGGCAATTATACGATAAAATTTCTGCCCCTTACCAAAGTTTTCGACTTGGAAGCTTCTCTTGAGTTTGCTCATTGCGAGCTGCAATTTTCCCGGGGGGCCTTTTACCCCATGGCCATAGATCAGCATGACTTTCCTCAAGACATCAGGACGTGCAGACAGCCTGGAATTACGCGCCATTCTCTAGCCGTCCAGGACCGAAGTTCTGAAATTGTTTCCGGAAAGACCGGTTGGAAGACCTTCTCCATCCCTTCCATTGGAGTTCCCAGAGAGAATTCAGCCGGCGGAGACCTGGTCACTCCCCGAGGACAGGGTGCCTCTTCATCGATACCCATTGAAAATCGAAGGCTCCTTATTGCCAGTCCTGACAAAGTCTATCGGGACATAGGCCCAATTTCCTCTCGAGTTGCAGACAAGACTGACTCCCAGGGAAGGGCTCTGAGCACGTTAGTGACAGGATATCGATGGCTCCAAGCGAAGTCTCTTGAAACCTGCAGAGACCTGCTCTCATATCTGCAATGGCTGTTCGAGTCTGATGCTCGGCCTTTCGCCTGGTCTTGCCATTGGAAACTTGGCTCAAATATGGAAAACAGGTCTTGTCCATTGCCTTCACAACAAGAAACAGAGACAGGCCCGACCTACAATACTTATCAGCATAGCCGCGAAACCAGTGAAGAAAAGCCCTCAGAACACCGGACCAGGAATACAGACTCGCCACGTCGCAAAAGAGGCGCATGCCAACATGGAACCAATGGCCAGGATCAGAGTGACGACGACGAATTTCCGGATGAGTCCAGAAGGAAGAAATCACGACTCCAAGGTCCAGCCACCGACAAGGATGACAATGATCTCAGTTTAGCCTGTCCGTTCTACAAGGCAGACAAACGCACCCACAATCGGTGCTCTTTATTACAGCTGAGTAGGATCAGAGACGTGAAGCAGCATCTGTATCGGAAGCATATGCAGCCTCACTACTGCTCAAGGTGCGGTCGACAGTTCGAGACGCAAACTGAGGAGAGGTGCCACACAAGGCAACAGGACTGCAGCAAGCGAGCCAACCAGCCGCCCGGCGGAATCACCCACGACCAGCAGAAGGAGCTCAAGGAGAGGGTAGACCGCAAGCTCGCCGTGAAGGAGCAGTGGTTCGCCGTCTGGGCCATTGTTTTCCCCGATATGCCGCCACCAGAGTCACCCTATGTCTACAGCCCTACCCGTGAGGTAGCAACGAACATGCGAAACTACTGGCAAGAAAGCGCGGCGGAGATGCTGGTCGTCCACGCTGACCGCATGCCGGGTATTGACAGGGAACGGGTCATTGGCGGTTTGAATACGTTTATGGAAACCTTCTTCGATCGATTCATCGAGGAGCACACGGTTGCCGAGGGAGAACAAGTTTCGGATTCATCCTCAGATGGTAGTCCAGGTAGATCGATTCCAAAGAGATCAAGGCCTTACTAGACAAGAAACTGACGCAGTTCTACAGGGACAGCATTTTTCTCAGAGAGGACGCCGGCTATATCATCACCAAGCAGTAGCCAAAGGACTTTAATCGAATCCTTCCGCGACTTGCTTTCTGTCATGAGTGGTGCCGCCAGCGACAATGTCATGATAGACGACGGTTCGCTTATCGCCAACTATGCAATGACCATGGGAGAAACGGACGGGCACTGGGAATTTCCGTCGAGTGATGATGCTTATGGTTGGGGTCAGCTCCCCACGGCTGGTCCGTTCTTCCAAGATGATCCTCTTACTTGAGAAACAGCTCTAGGTGTGTTTGTCGAAGGTGGCTCGGAAACCCTAGAAATGCCAGAACTGACTGCTGTCCCCAATAGACAGTATCTCCAACTTCGACAGTAATTCCATGGCAAAGCCAGGTGGATGCGTAGCAGAGAGCCCAAGAGTCAGATGGGGTCAGTCGTGGAGTACAGGACATGATGACTTTGACCAAGAAGCGTCGCTATGGATTTTCCTACTATTCTCGGAATTTTGATAGCTATTTTCCTACTGTTTCTAGAATGTGGTGGCTCTTGTCTGTAACATAGAAATCCCTCGGAAGAAGTGGAATGGAAATGAGTTTCGGAAAGGATTTGGACAATACATCCATCATACATGCGTGTAAGGTAGTCCAGCAATAGAGTGATGGCTCCATGTCACAAGAATGGAATGATTATATCATATGGCACACTACGCTTTAAGGTTGTGCTAACCCACATGAACGGATGATGCTTTGCGCTTTGGCACAGGTTCGGTTGCCGGTATGGTGTTATGGTGTGTGAAAGTCTTGTAGGGTCGATCAAGAAAAGGTCTCCAAGATGTCGAGCTATCTCTACCATTACAATGCGCGTGTCCTTATCTTGGCTTGACCGCGAGACACAATCTCTATATACTGCAATAGGCTCGGCGAGTTACGTTCGGGAATTATCATAGAGGGGAAGCATCCAAGGTTGCTTGACCGATCTACAACTCATGATATCTTTGAAGACGAGACCCTGGACACGAGACAGACGGACAGGCTCCAGAGATTCCACAGGCAGCAGTTGCACGTACATCAGCAAGCCAGCTACGTACGCGGTAACCGGGAACCGGCAGCTGCTCGTCTGAATTGATGTACCTGCCAACTAGAGATGCCTCGGCTCCTCCCATATTAGACCTACCTCATCATGAGACGTTTGCGAAAAAAGAGGTCGCGCAATCTTCGAGACTCTCGGCAGTGAACCCGGCCGGAGCAACAGACAGGAAATTAACTTCCATCAACCTTTTCCGCAGCACTCTGATCCGACGAGGGGCAGAAAACTTTTTCACACTTACACGACTTCAGAGTTAGAATTGGAAGTCATTTAGTCAGGTCCCCGTCACCTCCCTTTTCCCCCGCTCCCTCTCCGAGAAATGGTTCGAGGCAAAATCACTATCAGACCAAAACTCAATTCACTCGACTATAGAGTTTTGGGCCCGAAAAAGTAAGGCGGCTTGCGGAAAAGAGGGAAAGGGGCCAAAAACCCTGAGATTGTGTCATTACAACCCAAAGAAGGACGAACCCCGGAAGGACCGATACCGTCTGAAGACTTCTCAAACAGCAGAAGATGGAGAAAAAGGGCTGATGTACACGACAATGGTATCGTGTAAAGTCAAAGAGCGATAAAAGAGAAGAGACCGACCGCGACAGCCTCGCGATCCGAGAGCCAACGGTCTTGCTAGGATGACGGTCCCATGTTTTTGGAGCGGCGCCTCGACTGACAGAGCCCCGAGTTTCAGGAAGAAGTCATGGAAGAAACAGAGAAGAGAAATTGGAAAAAGTATGAAAAAAAGATGGGATCGAAAAAAAAAGACCCATCGGGCTGAAGCAGCCCGCACATCTAGGAAACGTCGGACGCCAAGGTTTTGGTTTCTGCTCTGTTCGTGGGGACCCCCGGTCTCTCTGCCCAGGCACTTTGTGCCCCTCCACCCCACTCGGGGGACGCAACCACTTCCAGTCTCTGTTGGGGGCTCAACTACCGCCCTCCACTGCACTGCGCCATCGAGGCATTGGATGATCGAGATCAGTCCCCTTGTGCGTACCATTCTGAGAGGGCGCCGCGGGCATCGACAAGCAAGCTGGTTCGGGAAGTCTGGAAACTCAATTACTTTACAATCGTCGAGGTTACATTGGCGCGGTGATGGCCATCAATGGAGGGTATCGAGATAAGTTGATAACCGGGCACGCTGAAAAGTATTCCTAGGCAAGGCGAAAGGTTGGAGATTGGGCGAAACGCCAAGGACAGGGCGACGACGGAGTCGAATCATGAAGGTGGGAGGAGATGGAGAGAGGACGAAACCCACCTAGCAGCGAGAGCTTGAGGAGGGATTTCCCGACCAACAATCGGGGCTTTCAAAATCCACGATAGGCGTGGTGTGCGAAACAGGCCGAAGAGGGTGCGTGGCCAAGGATATGGTGTGCCACGGAAGTAAACCCGACCCGACTTTGTCTGGATAGCGTGCAGTAAAGACCAAACTTGCGCCTCCAAGAACGACGGGATCTTGATAGAACCTGGCCGAGCCTGCATGCTGCGGCCAGTTAATTGGTCTCGCGCATATGGTGGGAGGGGGCTGTTGCTCAAGCCCGCCCGGCTGCAGCATAGACGCAGTTGCTGGTATGTCTTGTAGCTAGATTGCGCGAGCTTGAAGAGGGTTACAAACTCTCACCGTACCAGCCGTCGGAAGCCCCGGCCGTCTTTGCTCGGCGCGATGCCATTGGCCTTCGACTTCTGCTCTATTTTCTGCTTTTCCTGAGCTTTGGTGTGGGATGTTGGTGTAAGCATGGTATTGAACGTAGATTCCGGTTTTCGATACCGCAACACCACTGAGCATCCGTAAAGATGCAAGGTGACTAGGGTGAGATGAGTAGGGTGATGAAGCTCTTGTTTGACATAGGTATCTCTTCCACGCATTTTGATATCAGAGAATGCTTCGAGGCAAAACTAGCAAGCGTCGATGACTGGCTGGCAAGCGTTGTTCTATTTTAATTTCAGGTTTGACGGGGAGACCTGGGTGCTCTGCGGCGAAAATGGAAGGCTGCTGGCCGATCAGTAGAAACATGGAGAGAATTACCCAGAAGCTCGGGCCTCAAGACCCTTCCTTCCTTCGATGTACCTGTCATTCGTCTGGTGGTGTCTGTGTGTGTGTGTGTGTGTGTGTGTGTGTGTGTGTGTGTGTGTATACTGTAGAAGGCGAAAGTGACTTATCGACCCCGGCTGGTCACCGTATTGCCAATCCAGCAAGTATGGAGATATCAAACACGATACCTACTGAGAGACAGTGGCAACCCCGCGCCGGCTTGAAGGGATACAGAGCTGGTACAACATCGGAAGGACCCTGCGATGATGCAGGCTTTGTCCAGACTTTCCGCACGACACTGCGTTCCTTCACCGGCTCCTGCAAAGACAGGCGCAAAATTTTTGATACGGGAAGGCGGGAGATATCAGAGAAAGTTGGACATGTATAGAAAAATCTCGAAGCAATGGAAACGTTCCTAGAGACTTCACGGGTACGATTGGGGTCCCTTGGCCGTTGATTGTGAGACTCGATGCAAGCGAATTAAATCCGAGTTACAGGCTGGTATATGGTGTAGAACTGGGCACGAATTGTAGAAGAGTGAGCGGATACACCTTCACGGCCCTGTGGAGGCAACTTGGCCCGTACTCCGTACACACGTCCACGTATCTGATGTGCGCGTACCGTAAGCCATCGATCCGCGTCATGTGTGCAACTGTGATTGAGGCGCAGCTCGACTATGCAATATGGAACCCGCGGGAGTTGACGAGCAGAGCTGAAGACTAACGCTTTATGCGGCGGTCTGGCAGCCAAGTTGATATTCCGGACTCTCGGTTGGAAGTGGACCTTGCAGGTTCGCAGTACTGCGACGGGTCAGCCTTCGTATGGCCGGCCGTTGAACACGAAGTCCACCGGCTTGCAGGGGTGGTCAACATCTCACCCCAAGCTCGGGCTGGGCAAAAGTTGACAACGTGGAGCACTGAGAGGGAGAGGCGGTGGGACGGGCATGATCCTCGCTGCCATTTGGCGTCTAGTCCAAGTGATTGAGTATCTCGGCCTTAGGGGTCCATTGTCGAGATGCTGTTCGGTCCTAATGGCATCTGAGGATCGAGGATCAGATGAAAGATGCTGGCTGACTGTGTTTGAGGCGCTGTGCCAGAATTTCCATGAGTCGCAACGCAGCCCCGCTCCCGCGAGACAGACAAACCACATAAGGTACTGACCGGGTGATTTGTCGTTCGGGATCGGAAAGGACAATCATGATTGACTGCCTGCTTGAATGATGCAGAGGCAGTCAAGTTTCAGACTGAACCACTGTTGTGCTTCCCCGACGCACGTCTTCCATGCGGCCGCATCTCGCTCAGCAACAACGCTGGCCAGTGGGAAGAATGGCCGTGTATAGTGTACAGCGAAGGTGGGAGTTTGTAGTAGCATCGATTTAAAGCCAGAGGAATAAAGCGGCGGAATGGGAATGATGAAAGCCCGTCGTGCGCCGTCTGGTAGCGACCTCGCCGATTTGCATGTACGAAGTCCCAAACAGTCGCGTACAGTAGGTACAGATACCGTGTACCATGATAGGTAGTGTAGGTAGGTAGTCGATTGTGTGCGGTTGTCCTCAATATTGACTGGAAGTAATGGATGGCCGGGCGTCGATCCTGGTTGGGCGCAGTGGCAGTGGTGGCTGATCGGGTCTTGTCGTCCGTCTACAAGCCTGCAGGACTAAGGCTAAGGTTTTCTTGGATGGAACCTCATAACTGTGCTGGGGTTGGACGGGTTGGACGGGTGGGATGGTTGATGAGGGGCGAAACGCGTAATGGCGCGGGCTTGAGGAATTCCCCTCCACCTGAGCACCCCTCTTATTGCCAATGGTTGAGAGTCCGTTGATTGACCGGTGCTTGTCTTGCGTCTGGTTCTGAGAGGTACACGCACGCGGTTTGGAGTCTCAGGGCAACACACGTCAAGCTCGAGTTCCAGGCCAGGAACGTGCTTGGGGAGGTTGTGACAGGTTATGGGAGGTGGGCGTGAGACGGCTAAGGTGGAAAAGGCGGGTGGGTGCACTGTGGAGGTCGAGCAGACGCGGGCAATAACAATTGGAATTTTGAGATGGAATGCAAGGCCAGGCCTTTGATTTCCTCTGCGTCAATTTGCGGCCAGCTGCAGTGCAGCTTGTGCCAAATAGGCTGCTGGGTTTCTAGAAAGACCGGCACGGTGGGGGAGGGAGCTTTTCGAATGTTGTTGACGACTTTGGCGCACTGCATCCGAGCAGTACTCGATACTGGCTATCTTGCTACTGCAGTAGGTATCTTCTGACTCTATAGATCCTGGCCCCTTGTCAACTGAAAGGCTGGACAGAAAGGTTTGATCTTGCTGCCCGCGGTCACCTGTCATTCGATGGAAAGCCCAGCATTTGAGAACAGGGTGCGGCCGAGGCAGGCAGGGCTGTATGGAGCAGTGCATCTGTTCGAAGTACAGCTTCTTTCCCATGCTAAGAGCTTGGAGAGGACATTTGAGGAGAGACTCGAGGGAGTCGTACGTTGTGTGGTTGTGTTAGTTGCTAGGCCGCATCGTTCGATAGGCATTCCCTGTGTGCATACGTACGGTACTAAAGGTACATGGATACCTTTGATAGGTTTTCTCATGAGGCCACGCCATAAACGGACCTTGGGAAAGAAAGGTCCCCGAAGTCAAAAATTTCCTCACTCTTTCCTTCCCTTGTCGTGAAGTAAGTGCGGGACCCATCGGCGCCGACCTTCTCTAAAGCTTCGTACGACTATGAAGTACCTTACCTAGTAACCTAATGGCAGCAAGGTACGGGTTTCAGTGAGGGAAGGACCATAAGGTACGATAGGTACCACCGGAGCTTCTTATTATTCTTGCCATAGCATGTCGTGACAGGCCAGACCAGGACAGGCCACACCTTTACGCTTTAGTCGTCGAGATCATCATTGACTTGTCACTGCACACCACCTTGTTCAGCTGGCCTTCCCTCCAGTCACACACACGCGCACTCACACACTCTGTCGACGGCTCTTCCTTCGTTGGCCCAACTGAGTTGGAGGCTCGTATAGATACCCAAGGCCTCCCGCCACGCTTTTGCGTTGGGATTCTAAGCCATCCTTATGTTTTTGGCCTTGTTACACCTCCAAAAGGTCTCGCCCGATTCACTCACATCCACACTTGACGACGTATTAATCCACCTCGTTGCCTCAACACCTGCAGGGTTACAGTGAATCACCTTTCACACTCGCTGCCTATACCACGCACACTGGCATCTCGCCATATTTTATCATTTGCCACCTCGACCTTCTTTCGCTGACCAGTCATTGTCATTGACCCGACCTGGCTTTGGACGCTATCGACGCCCTTCCAATCTCCGGAGCACCATCTATAATAAGGCAATTTGATAAAACCTCACTGTTCGGAGCGATCCGACAAGCGACCCGTCCACGTCCGGGATAATCAAAGTAGCAAGGGGCCATTGAAAGAAAACCAGGTACGCACAGAGGTGGAAATTTCTTTTGGGTCCCCACGGGTCGTCCATCATCTGCAAGCAGCGGTCGGCTGCGGCGCCAGGACGTGCCACGATGCATGGCGCTGCGACGTGGGATGAAGAAGACACTGGACCCCATCGCCCACATGGATGCAAAATAGATTGGCTGACATTGGGACAGCGAGCAGAAACGCAGACCCGAGAACGTAAAACGTCCGACACGGAGCGAAGACCAAAATTCGTGCTCTGCGACCGGACAAATTGGTCCTGGAAGCACAGGAGCTGAGAAGCACCCCCCAATCGACAATTTCTCGATCCAATTCCATTCCATTCCAGGACGCATTAGGCCAAGGGCCGAAAGGGAAGGGCCGAGAAAGACAAGAAGGAAAAAAAAGCAAATTAAAGGAAAGGGGAAAAGGACACCGCTGCGTTCCGCCATACCGTACCTCGAGCTACCACGCGAAGGCGCTTTGAAACACGTGAGGATTACCGCCGCTTGACGTCAGCCATAGCCAGACAGTCTCCAGACAGACAAACCGACGACGACAGGGGCGAAATTGGCCATTCGGAAACGACAGCATTTCGCATTGCTCTGCACCGCCATTAGCATTGCCCATCTAGTTCCACCACGCACATCAAGCGAACGATCGACGGCCTCCACGTCCTAGCCCTTCCGGGCCCACCACCAACCGCCTGCAAACGCGCCAACTACGTCGCATTCGATCATCGATCAACAGGCAATATCAAACATAATACCCAGTTTACTCGTTTTTTGTTACGAAACGTCCGAAGAAGGCTGCAGAACGTCAGATTCAGAAGCAACGGCTTGATTGCCCTCAAAGGACCCTCCCGTCCAAAGTAAAGCCAGGAAACAGGATACTTTCTTTACCGGTACGTACCTTTGTCAGGAAAAGCCTTCTCACCTAAGGCTCAGGTCGATGGGAACCCTGCCAGCTTGCCCGCACCCTGCTGCAACTGCCGGCGACACTCAAAAAGAAGGAAAGAGCGACAGAACTAACACAAAAAGCCAAGAACCACAGCCGGCCAAGCTAGTTTTGCTTGAGAAAAATCCTTACATCCTTATATCGGAACACACGTCAATTCTTCAACTTGGGCAGAAAGAAATTGGCAGCAAACGGCAGGAGAAGAACCAGCCGGCGGAAAAAGAAACCCAACGGCAACATCACATCACCAAGACACTCATCAACAAGCAGGAGGCGCTTGCCGTCTGGGCTGACCCAGTTTACAGCACCAGGACAGCACTTGCTGGCCCCGGCGTCCCTGAGCGTCCCAGCCCCCCAGTCACCACTTTTTCCCCTACGTCGCCGGACCTGACTCCAGCGTCCGACCACCCCATCGAAAAAAGACGTGACGCTTAACCCATTGCGGCCACCCTCCTTCCCTGTAACGCCTCCAATTCAAATCGCCCTAGCGCTTTTTCAGCAAACATCCTGGCGTCGCTCGCCCGAAGTTGTCTTCCCAAAATCCCATCAGAATCCATCCGAGAGTTGATACTTGGGAGAGCGCGAGAGTCAGACTCAGATTCCCTCCCGTTTTTTCTCTCTTGCTTCTGTTGCAGCAAGATACACCAAGCTTGCAGCAACACCTCGCTGCATAAGGTACTCCGTACCAAGGATCGAAACATCGGCCCAAAAAAAAGGCAAGGTACGTACCGAATTGTCCGTGAGCACCCTCCATCGCACCAACACCTGCACCTGCACCTGCAACTGTTCCCGTTCCCGTACCCTCAGCTGGGGTTTGTCGTTGTCATTGGTGTTTCTGTCGCCATCTCATTGGATCGCTGTTGTCGTCGGGTTGCCTGGCCGTTCCTTCCAGCTCGGCACCACAACCACACCGCAGCCCACCTGGGCAGCTTCATCGGCTGGGAGTTGTTGCCGTTGCCGTTCGTACCAAGTCAAGTGCCTTCCAGGTTGTCGACTCAACCTCACCCCCAGCCACATTCGAGACACCCAGCTCCCTGCTTTCCTGCCCCCTTGCGACAGTATCTGAGAAAGAAAGAAAAAACATCTCCCAAGCACACAAGCACCTCAACTTGCTCTCGAACTGCTTGTTCTCCGTCCCCGAAGATTTGCTTCTCATACAACACACATCGTCAACAAGTGGAACACTGGAAACAGCCCGGTCCACGGGTACACTATTCTCTGCTAGTTTCTGCATCCACTTTCAATCCCAGCTGTCGGCAGAAACACCACACTCAGGCATACGGCACACCCCAAACCCCCTTCCCTTCCACTATTCTGCCCCTTCCAACGCTCCACCGCGCTCCATCATCTCACGCTCACCCCTGGAAAACGCAACCTTGGCCGCCTCGCTAGCGACCTCTGGGAACCGCCCGCCCACTCTTCCCCTTGCTGACCCGCGATAAGGCACGCAATAGCTCCATCCATCGACCTTGCTCGCCGAGACCAGGTCCGCGCCCACTGAACCCGCCTACTTGCGAGACAGATCAATTAAAAGTAGCACCCTCCCCAGTCGCCCGTCATGGCTGAACACCATCCACTTCCCGCGCTGCCTCCCCAGCACCAACAACCGAATCACCACTATCACCAACAAGGCCCCGACTCATACGACAACGGCCAGTCCCAATTCCCGCCTTATCAGCAGCAGTACGACCAGCCTCAGCCTGTTCAACCACCCCCCAACGCCCAGGCGCAGTCCCCATCCCACGCCCAGAATCAAACTCCCCATAGACGCTCCAAGT